TTATTTTCAGCTAGAACCACCTTGCAACCTACCCCTCTCTCATTCTCTCTCTCTCTCTCTCTCTCTCTCTTTTTGATATAAATATAATAATGTATATACTCATATACATATGCGTCTCTTTCTTTTTGTATATCTCGCTCGTTAGCCGCAGCTATATTATTCGTGTCATGTCTTCTATTGCGTTTAGTAAGTTGACCATTTACATATCTACATATATGTATGATTTTTTAAGACCGACCCTCTCTCTACGCTCAGGTGTCTCGTTTGTGTTGTTTTTTTATCCTCATTCTTTTTATAATGCTCTGTGTATTTTCATTTTATTTCTTTTTATCATTTTGTATAAAGTTTTCTATATATTATTTTTATTTCATTTTTTATAGACATAATTCGCAAACAAAGTATGGCGAGCTATACAGGTAATTCGGCCGCGGCTGTCTCCGTGTTCGGATGCAATCGTTTTGTTCCTTTTTTGCCTTCCTGCTCTCCCTCTCTGTCTTTTTCGCTCTCTCTCTCTCTCTCACACACACACACACAACCACCCACAAGCAACCCGTATTGTTTTACTGTTATTTGTTGACTGATCCAATATTTACACTCATTCATTTGTTGAGCCGCTTTACGCTCTTTTGTTTGTGCTCTTGCGCTCTCCCTCTCTCTTACTGTGTTTATGTTTATGTTTCTGTTCAGTGTGTTGCCCGCTCTCTTTAGTAACACCCGCGTGCCGTAGCATTTAGCCTTTGTTACAGACACAATCTGTACTTAAATATTTGCAATGCTTTGTTATTTTTGTTATTTACACTCAATTTTGTGTCCCGCTCTCTCTCTCTCTCTCTCTCTAATGTGTTTTGCATTTGTTAACAGTTATTACTTTGCTAACAGCTCTCACTCGCTCTCCGCCTTGCACGCACTTTATCTTCTGCCTGCCTGCAGTAGAGTACATACATACATACATATATGTAATTTCGCCACGTTTGACCCACCTTTAAAAATGTTTTAAACACCTCACCTGAAAGACTTTAGTACAAAGTTAAATATGTTATTTCCCTGTGAATATACGTGAACAGGGTAGACACGCCATATGATAACCGACATGTATTTGTTTGTACTTACGAATCTGTATCTTTAAATCAACATGCTGTTTTTTTTTTTAATTTTAAATTAAAATTTTAATATGAATGGCATATCATATCATATTCGCAATGCCCTTTTAGGTCGGCAAACTGAGTAAACTTAACTGAAAAATGAATTTATACGCAAGCTTTCACATTATTAAAACTTATCAAACAGTTAGCTGAAAAATTACTTTAATTGCAAGCTTTCACACTTAAAACCTTAAAAACTGTTTACAAGCAAAAATTGTATTTCCACTTAAAAAATATACATATATAACAGCTGACAGCCCTGTTCTTCACGCACACAAACACAACTACAACAACACTTTGTACGTTTGTGTGTAGCGTATTTGCAAAAGAAGAAAAAAATAACGTTAATTTAGTTTTAAATAGTTTGTACAACATTTACCAACACTGCCGCTGATAATCAATTTTAATGCCAATATACCCACACCAACATATGTATGTGCATACATATACATACATATTTCTTATTACATTACACACGCAAATAACTCGACACCCAAACGACGTGCAGAGCTCCATTCGTTGCCATCGCCCCTTAAATCTATACATGCCTGGGATGTAGAATTCGTGCCCGATGAAGATTATATTATCAAGCCAGTGAATGGAGTCTTTCACATTTACAATGATGAGGTAAGCAACCGAAATGCCAAAAGGATTCATTCATATACTAAGAATATTTCCATTTTCCATTTTCCAGGAGTGCACCAGCGAGCTGGAGTTTACGTATCCGGATATGAACCAGTTCGTGAATGACATGCAGGTCATGTGTAATATGATTGCCGATGGACCATTGTAAGTGTATATACATATATCTATTATAGATATATTTCTATTATTACCATCCGATCAGCTTCAAACTTATGTTCACATGTTTCGCGCTTTTCGCAAATGCACCCCCTTGCATGGAAAATAGGGGCCAAGAGGTACATGGCCTGAAATCCTAGTTAAATCCGATCGAATTTTAATTCTAGTTAAAAAGTTGTATATTTAAAATGAATGGGTAAAAAACTGCAAAAACTGTTGATTGCACATTTATATTAAACGGGATTCACTGATTGCGAAAAATCCACTACGCTGAGTGGAATTAGAAATTCGCGGGCAAAGCCTGGTGTACATGTTACATGTTAATACACATTATTAAAATTGCTCTTATTTTTCTTTTATTTTTAGAAAATCATTTTGCTATCGTCGCCTTTGCTATTTGTCCTCCAAGTACCAGATGCATGTGCTGCTAAATGAGCTGCGCGAGCTGGCCGCCCAGAAGGCGGTGCCGCATCGTGACTTTTACAACACTAGAAAAGTGGATACCCATATACATGCAGCCTCTTGTATGAATCAAAAGCATTTGCTGCGCTTCATCAAGAAGACGCTAAAGAACAATGCCAACGAGGTGGTCACCCACACAAATGGACAGCCGATGACATTGGCACAGGTGTTCCAATCGATGAACCTGACCACATACGATCTGACCGTTGATATGCTGGATGTCCATGCCGATCGTAATACGTTCCATCGTTTTGATAAATTCAATTCCAAATATAATCCCATTGGCGAATCGCGTCTCCGGGAAGTCTTCCTCAAGACGGACAATTATTTGAATGGCAAATACTTTGCACAAATTATAAAGGTAAGTCAAAACCAGGGCTGCGAAAACCAAAAAGCCATGTCAGTGGGTCGATTCACACTCCGAACCAACTTCCTTTGGTTTGGTATCACACCTTGGTTCGGATGTCAGTTGGCATGTTGCTTGGTTTTCTTTTGGGGCTCTAACTGGTTTAAAAATGTAGACATAAAGTTTTATCCTTACTCAAATCCCGTTTACTCCTTAAGGAGGTGGCCTTTGATCTGGAGGAATCCAAGTATCAAAATGCAGAGCTCCGTCTCTCCATCTACGGCAAGTCGCCCGATGAGTGGAACAAACTGGCCAAGTGGGCCATCGACAATAATGTCTACAGCTCGAACATACGCTGGCTAATACAAATACCGAGGCTATTCGATATATTCAAATCCAACAAGATGATGTCGTCATTCCAGGAGATAATCAATAACATTTTTCTACCCTTGTTCGAGGCAACCAATAAGCCAAGCGAGAATCCCAACTTGCATCGCTTCTTGAACTATGTGATTGGTTTCGATTCTGTGGATGATGAGTCGAAGCCAGAGAATCCGCTCTTTGATAGCGATGTGCCGCGACCAGAAGAATGGACATACGAGGATAATCCGCCGTATGCCTACTATATATACTATATGTATGCCAATATGACGGTGCTCAACAAATTTAGAAAGTGAGTAGTGAGAGTACAAATTTCCTGATGCATAAATCTATATTGATCTCCAATCGTCCTCAACGCAAACAGGCAGCGTGGCATGAACACATTTGTGCTGCGCCCCCATTGCGGCGAGGCTGGGCCAGTGCAGCATCTGGTCTGTGGCTACTTGATGGCCGAGAACATTTCGCACGGTCTGCTGCTGCGCAAGGTGCCAGTGCTGCAGTATCTATACTATCTAACCCAGATAGGTATTGCCATGTCGCCGCTGTCGAATAATTCGCTGTTTCTCAACTATCATCGGAATCCGTTGCCCGAATATTTGGCTCGTGGACTAATTATCTCATTGTCCACCGATGATCCGCTACAGTTTCACTTTACCAAGGTAACTAGAGTGACGATTTGATCAACTTGTTTCACACATTTCTCTGTTGGCTTAGGAACCGCTTATGGAAGAGTACAGCATTGCGGCACAGGTGTGGAAGCTCAGCTCATGCGACATGTGCGAGCTGGCCCGCAACAGCGTCATCATGAGCGGCTTTCCACATAACGTAAGTGAATTCCAAAAGGTTTCTCTCTTATCTATTTGAGAGTTTTAATATATCCGTTTCGCAACAGATCAAGCAGCAATGGCTGGGACCCAACTACTTTGAGGATGGCATCAATGGCAACGATATAACTCGCACTAATGTGCCAGAGATACGCGTGGCCTATCGCTATGAGACCTTACTGGATGAGCTCTCAAACATATTCAAAGTGAATCAGACTTGCCACCTAAAGGAATGCGATTAAAGCATCCACAGAGAGAGAAGAGCGGTCGATTTATAAAATATCAAACAAAATTATATATGCAATTTAGATACTTGCTTCTTATATACATTTACATTTATTTGTACCTATACACATTTGCGTACTTCGATGTGAATGTTTTTCTCAACTAATCAATTATATTAACCCGACAGACCAAAATTCTACATACTTACATGAGTAGATGTAACAAACTTATATACAGGGCGTATTGGCTAGCAGCAGCAGCGATGACTGCAATTTGCAGCAAATGCATCAAATAATCAGAAGTTTCTTAGCAAATATGTAAAACGTATAAATATCAATTTTAGGTAGATTCTTTGCTTTGCAATCGAATTAGACGAAAATTAAATATATTTTAAAAATAAAACTTATGTGAATTGTAAACTCTAAATAAACCAAGTTGCGAATTGCTAATAAATGTACGATATTTATTTCTTACAACAGAAAAGGCATTTGAATTTGCCGGCTAATTCAAATGCTACTGGCGCCACCTAGCAGGCGTTCAGAAAGCGTTGTTTGTTCAACTGCACAGCGTTGCCATACCTTTTCTATTTAACTTTTCTGCAACAGGTTTTTAATGATAACCATTATTTATGACAACAGAAACGCTTACTCATATTTGAGTTTACCCAATATTCTTTGGCATATCAACTGATTTGCATTTTTTTTAAATAAACCGGTACTTGCTAATACGCCCTGACACCTATCGATACTTTAGGCTGCACTTAAAATTCTAACATCGATGTATCGATACACCATCAACAAACTACTTAATACATATACATGTGTGTGTTATTGTGGCCGAGAGATTCTCCGCTGCAACTTGTCTTTGTTTTCCACAAAATAGAACATACGAAAAAAACTGAACACAAAAAAAAATGATGCTGTCACAAAGCTGATAAAACGCACTAAATTGGCCGTGTCAAAAAAGACACCGAATTGCTAAGAAAACGTGAAAAGGGCTAAATTCACAGAGCGAAACAAGTCATCGCTCAACGCTCTGTCGACTCATACCTATGTGTGTGTATATGTGTTTGTATTTGTATATATATCTGTGTGCATAATGACCACCCAGCGAACGCATCGAAATGCCACCAGCGCGGTGGGGAGTGTCGGCGATTCGGATTACGAGACGCTAATGCAGCGGTTGCACATTGGCGGCAACTACCAGCGCTCGCCCGGCGCCATTGAACATTTTATGCACGATGCCCCACAGCAGCCGCAGCAACAACAACATCAACAACATCAGCAGCAGCAGCAGCAACAGCGCCTGCCCAGCAGCGAAGATTACAAATTGTATGAGCGCGGCAACATAATCGCCGCCTCGAAATACGCAACCGCAACGCCTAAGCCCGGCATGGAACCCATACTGATGGGCAACGGCGGCAGCAACAGTCAACAGTCACCGCTAATTTATGCGCCGACAGCTCAGGTGCTAGGGCAGCGCATTGTGCCGCAAAAGCACTCGCCGGTTTACGAGAATCTTGAGTTTTATGGCCAATTCGATACGAATCAGCGGCGTGCACAGCCTCAGAGTCCCGCCAGTCGGCAGAGCGTTATGTTGAACGATTATCTGCTGATGCAGCCCATTGGAGGCGGCCGTTTTGCGCATACGCCCGTGCCGGAGGCAGCACCCAAGCACAATCACACTCCCATCGAGGAGCTGTCAACCGTGGCGCCCATCTATGAAAATATTATACCGCATTCCGGACAGCGAGCACAGCCGCAGGCATCGCCGGCCACGGCCACCATGTATCAGCATACAGAGATAGCCACGCCCACGCCCATGCCCATGCAGGCAGCAAACCAAATGGAGCTAAATGCCATGCTGTTTGCGTCGCCGCTGCATCAGCGCAGCAGCAGCAGCAACAGCTCATCGACCGCCGCTGCTGCCGCCAGCCTAGGCTCACCCACGCAGCGCTATCGCAATCTGTCGCTGCCCAGTCACCTGAGCCCGTTGGGCTCGCCGGTGCCCCAGCCGCTGGCCAAGCTGCAGCTGCAGCAGCACACGCCCATCAAGCAGCAGGTGGGCATCAATGTGTCCGTCAATCCCAACTACATTGAGGACATCAATAGCTCCGATTATGTTTGCATGACCGCCAATCTGCATCGCAACAACAACAGCGCCGCCAAGAGTCGCAGCCCCAACAATGGGCGACTCAATGCGGTCAGCCCGCAGCCGTTGTTGCCACCGCCGCCGCTGGCAACGTCCACATTGGCGATACAAACGACAACGGCAACTACGTCGGCCGCGGCGCAAATGCAGCCCCTGCAGCTGCGTGCCACGCCCATTGCGACCACAGCGCCACTTGCGGTGGCGACATCGCCAACGCCCTCGCAGAGCAGCACAGGTAGGCGACCAAAATGAAAGACAGACCATCTTAATATGTTGATATATACCCTGCATAAATGTATGTTAAGTACTTGACTAATTCTTATCAGTCCTTTGTTAGAGTCTTTGTTTCGTATTCGTGAACGTTCCGCAGGCAACTCTTTGTTACATTGTATTCTTCTTTTTCTTCTTTGTGTTGCGTTCGTTAACGTTTTACTGGCTCTTCAGCTTATTTATCTGTATTATTTAATTTGATACTTATAATGTATATCAACTATTCCACTGTTCGCCATCCGCCCTGTTACTAATCTCTCTCTACTTTGCCCATTCCCAAAATGCTTTCACAGCCGCTTTGCGGCCCAAACGAGGTATGCGTTTCATATTATCCACACACACGCCCTTTAACCCAACCCCATCTTACTGATGCATATACTACATTTTTACTGCAACTCCTCCAAACAGGTCTGACAAAAAATTTACTGCCGTATAGCGTGACACCGCCGCGTCCGGCTGGTCCGACAGAGGCGCAGCGCAAAATCGAGGAACTGACACGCCAACTGGAGGAGGAGATCGAACAGAGCGAGGAGCATGGCGAGTATTTCGGTACGTACGCGAAAGCCCTTAACTAATTTGTGTGTTATGTCGATAGCTAACTGTAGCTAATGTGCAGCTGAAATCTCAAATTCCAGCTCACATACTTCAAATGAATGTCGACTATTTTAATGGTTGAATATAATGAGTAGATTATATACCCATAATGTATATTATGTAGAACGACAGGCAGATGCCCTGTAACAAGCTCTAGAGCTCTATAAGTAACTAAAATGTTTTAATTTAACACATTCGTGTTATGGTTTTTCTATATGAGTTGAGCAAATTAAGTTGTTTTTAAAAAGTTCCGCTCATTTTGCAGCGTTAAGTGATTTGTTCGTAACTCTGTCTAAGTGCACACTCGAGTCATTTAAGAGGGTAAACGGTTGGGACTTGTGTTTCTGCATTTTGAGTACATAATTAAGCATTGATTAATTTTGTATCCATTCAAGGCATTTGTCACACCTGCGGCGAGAAGGTAAAGGGCGCCGGGCAGGCCTGCCAGGCGATGGGCAATTTATATCACACAAATTGCTTCATTTGCTGCTCCTGCGGACGGGCGTTGCGCGGCAAGGCATTCTACAATGTGCACGGGCGTGTCTACTGCGAGGAGGACTACATGGTAAGTGCCAGCATTTCCTTCTATGCACATGCATCTCACTCACTCCAGCTCTCTCTGTCTCGCTCTCACTTACAGTATTCGGGCTTTCAGCAAACAGCTGAAAAGTGCGCCATTTGTGGCCACCTGATCATGGAAATGGTGCGTACTCTGTCTCCCTCTCTCTATCTCTATCTCTCACCTGCTCACGCTGTCTTTTTTGGCTCACAGATACTGCAGGCCATGGGCAAGTCATATCATCCGGGCTGCTTTCGCTGCTGCATCTGCAACGAGTGCCTCGACGGCGTGCCCTTCACCGTGGATGTGGATCACAAGATTTACTGCGTCAACGATTACCATCGCATGTTCGCGCCCAAATGCGCCAGCTGTGGCAAAGGTGCGCTCCATGAAGCTAGCTATCATGCACACTAAAAAGAACGGCTATCTTCGGCACGCCGAAGTCTAAAAACACTTGTAGCTTAAACACACTTGTTCAGGAAAACTTTATATCCGAGAGGTTGTTCCTATGGTAGCCATATAAAGTGGTTGTCTGATATGTAGAGGAGCGAAGCTCTTTATTGCTGAGTTTGGTTAAGCTATCAGCTTGCCCAGATAACTGATATGACCGCTGTATGATATGGTCCTATGTGGAAAGGATATCGCACATATATAGGCAACATAATTAAACTGGCAATGGAATGGAATGTTATTTCCGACCGATCATTCAAATGGCAGCTAAATGAAGTGGTGGTCGGATCCGGCGGGTTCAGACATGCAACAGAAATGGGGTCCAATGGAAAGTTTCTTTTACTTTATCAGGAACATATATTATGTGCACTTTATGGGTTTAGACCCGTCACCCTTTATGCGCGATTCGTGTGAAAACTCAACTGTTTACTGTTTTTCTTTTATTTGCATTGCCTGCAGGCATTACGCCCGTCGAGGGCACCGATGAGACCGTGCGCGTTGTGTCCATGGACAAGGATTTCCATGTGGATTGCTATATATGCGAGGAGTGCGGCATGCAGCTGACCGATGAGCCGGACAAACGCTGCTATCCGCTGGATGGGCGACTGCTTTGCCGCGGCTGCCATCTGCAGCGTCTCGCATTGCAATCCTCGCCGCATACGCGCCACCAGGAGCCCGTCTGCGCCTCCTACCAGTATATGGGCTGAGCTGATGATGCCTCCCCCCTCATTCGACTGATGATAAGCAATTGTACGCACAAGAAATAAATATACAATATACAATACATCTAAACAGAAAGGAAAACAACACATTTCCATTTTTCAAATAACCGATATATTCTCAAATAAACAAAAACTAAATTCCATAAATACAAACGTACAAAAGAAAAACCAGTAAAGAACACAGATTCCCCGCGACCAGCCCCCCTCTGATGGCTGCCAGTTATTCTTCTTTTTCTTCTGGATGACGGGTATTTAAGCCCCTCCCCACCATGGCTCCATTGATAGAGCCTAATGCATCAGTATCTCCAGCTGCACCAGGCGATTGTTGGTGTCCGAGGGCATTCGATATGGGAGTGTGGCTGCCATATTGGTCAGAGCCTTGGCACGTCCACGTAAATGCATGAGAAGCTCTTCCTTGCCATCGCCAGCCTGGCCGGCGGTGTCATCCGGTGCGCTGGCGGCGACGCCGCTGCTGCTGCCACCACCAGTGCTGCCAGCGCTGGCCTTCACCTCCAGGTACTCCGCATAGATGAGATCCATGGCGGCCAGCAGCACATCGGGCAGCACCTTAATGATATCGGAACCCACCAGCTTCAGACTGCTAACGCATTCGTCCACCTCGGCCGAGGTGTTGGGCGTTATGCGATTCTTGGTCAATATCTCAACGGCCAGACGGGATTCGCCGGCATGGTAATAGTCGAAGAACTTCAATAGCTGCGACAGCATTGTGTATGTGCGCATCACATGCTCATCCACGTCCATTTTGCGACGGGCAAGCGATTGATTCATGCGCTCCGAGACAGCCGTCAGCTGCTCCCGGATGCTGCCCTGACGCGTCGGCTGATGCACCACCTGCGTCAGCAGCGAGCATAGCAAACGCAAAGCCTTGTCCATCTGGCCGCCAATAAAGTACAGACGTATGGCAGCCTCAAACTTCGTGCGGTCCGAAAGCTCATCGCCCACCATGCCGGCCAGGGCGTATTTGTCGTGCTCCATGTTGGGAAACTGGGCAAAGATGCCGCTGCATTAGAAACGGGGAAAAGCAGTTTTTGGAGATTAAATCTGGTTTGTTTGTTATGTATAATTAGCTTTTATAATCAAATTAATATTGGAATCCCTGAGTTCCGACAGTCTAAAGACCGTGAATATATCCAATGAGATCGGATATATCTATATAGTATAAAGCTTTCTTTCAACATATTCAGTGCGTACAGCAGGACATATGGAAAATGAAGCAAACACATGCTTACCCAATATAACGCCATGGATCATTCGGATCGGGCTCCCCAAAAATCAATAGTAACATGTTATCATCACAGTTCTCGACGAGCATATCGCAGAAGCAGGTCATCATCAGATTGCGTCCATCTGTGGCCTTGAAGTGGCGCAACAAGTAATAGTATTGCAGGGCCTCGACGGTGTCAGTTTGCTCGAAGCACTTCGTGTACATTATGATGAGGCGTGCCAGGTTGAGGCGACGCATCGGTGGGGGATCAGTCGGCTCGGCGGAGAGCAGCGGCTTCTGCACGTCGCTGGGTGTGCCTAGCATGTTCAGCTCGTTGAGAGCAATGGCCATGTGGACGGCGTGCGGACGATTCGCATCGGTGCGGGCCAGAAACTCAATGGCTGCCTCAAATTGGCCGGTGAGGACAAGCACCTGGAAATACAGTGGAGTCTTTTCGCGTGCATTGAAATAATTCTCGCCATACTTTTCCAGTATGAGCGACTGTAGGCCGCCGTAGCTAAGACGTTCGATGTTATAGTCGAGACGCTCATCGGTGCAGAGCACGGATAGCTGCATCCAGAGGAAGTCATCAATGGTGCGCACCACCTCCTGGTGCGGCTCGTGCGGATCACAGGCCAACACGATGGCATAGACCTAGGCGAAATAAAGATTCAATTAACCAAAACATGCTTGACTGTCGGCTGACCCAAAACAACTTACCGCCTTCTTAAACGGATCGGTGCAGACGCGTAACTTATTATTGTACTCTAGCTTAAGCTGTCCCTCCAGCTTGGCATTGGGGCGCTCCTGGTCGCCCAGTTGATACTGTTGTTGCTGCTGTTGTTGTTTAATCTGATGCTTGTGCTGCAGCAGCTTCAGCAAATCGACACAAACGCCGCCCTCCTTGAGGAACTGTACACCAGCGCCAAGATCGCCGCTGCGCAGACTGTAGTAGACGAGGGGCCACAGCGGTCGGCCAGCGGAGACATCGAGCAGGCCAATCAGGGATTGCGGCATCTGAAAGGTGATGGCCACATACGAGCAGACCGTGTTATAGACATTGGGTATGCCGCCGCGCATGCCCACAAGACGATTCTTCTGGATGACCGTGTTCATGTATTGCTTGTAGCACTGCTCCAAATAGCCGAGTGCCTGCTGGACAAACGGTGCGCCGCTCTGGCGAGACTTAATGGGATCTGCGCTGCGTGACAGCGGTGTCACGTTGGCCATATAGCTCAGCACGCTCCACATTTCGTGGATCTGATTGTCAAAAGTGTTCTGTTGTTCCTTGACCACTTGCGTGAACTGCACGAGCAAATTGGGGCGTTGGGTGCCCTGGTTGTGCACTTGATTATAGAGTTTGATCTCCTGGGCATACATTGCCTCGACGCGATTGAGACGAGAGCGCGGCAGCGCTGACTGTGGCAGTACAGTGGGCACCATGTGGCGGTGCACCTCGGGAAAGTCATCCTGATTGGGTCCAACCAATGCATTAAGCAGACGTTCCTTTTCCTCACCCCACTCGGCAAAAATGCAGCGCATTTTGTTGCGCTCGACCGATTTGAATATCTATTCGAAATATAAGTAAAACAATGAATATATAAATGCAAGAAAAAATCTATCATAAGCTATAGCATATCAATTGTATAAATAAATAATGTAGTAATATGAATGCATGAAAACCGCATAGAAAGGCGGCTTTTCAAAAGAGAGCGCTCGAGTCAGTCTTTACCCCTGCCCTTACAACTCTACCACCCACTCGATCTCAGTATTACTCGCTCGCCATCTTTGAGGTAGAGAGCAGGCAACAGACATATTATGTGAGAGAACGGAGCGTTGTAGAGGTAAAGGCATAGCAAAAACAGTCTAGAATTTGAAAATATAATCTCGGCCCGGTATTATATATAACCTATTTTGAAAATGAAACTGTTAAATATTGAAATTCAATCGTCAGGCTTACATTTCTGTTGGTCTCCTCAATAACAGCGATTATAGCATTCTCGCGCTCGTTCTTCAAGTAGCCCTCGACATCGGTGTCGGCGATCGGATTGAGGGGCTCGAAAGATTGACGCGCGCTTAGCGATTCAAGTTTTTGTGTTAGCTTTGGCAGATCCACGCCTCTAGATCCGAGCAGAATGTGACTGCAAAGGAAGTGCATCATACGCATGTGCGGTTCGCATTATAATTCATTTAATAATATAATATACAACTTACGCCTGCAGATCGTTTGTGCCGGCTTGTGTGACGCGAGCATGCAGCTCCTGTGTCGCTTGGAGCACTTGCGATAGTGTGCGCTCGACGCGCGGCATTTCTGTGTCCATTTGGGTTTCATTTGAGAGGCGTTGCGCCTGCTGTAACAGCTCGTTCAGATCCATTACTTGAAACAATTTTATTTATTTACAAAACAAAAATTCAAAAAGTAAGCTGAGTTAGTATCGTGCTGCTGCACGCCAGCCGAATGAATTTGTTTCGATAAAGCGATAGCCGGCAAAGCACAACAAGCGATGTCTACTATGTTCAGAGAGACCATACCATCAACTATCGATAAAAAGTTGTCAGCACTGTTTTCTGCAATAAATCGATATGTTGCACCGATGTCGACGTACCAGCGCATTATGAACAATCCAACACTATTTCATACTGTAACTATAGCAAACAGGCATCACACCGAAATCGCTTGCAACGGGAAGCGAACGTAAATTTTGTATTACACACACAATCTACACATACAGGCGTGTGCGCTCAAATACAGTGAATTTTGAATTTTGTGTTCTGTGTTCGTGTGTGAATATATTGGCAAAAATAAATTGGCACAACATAAAAGAGCAAAGGAAAAACACGTACGCACGTCACGCGGACAACGACAACGATAACGCACGCAAACCACAACAAAAAATATAAGAAGAAACCGCAGCAAGAGCGTACATTTAAAAAGTTGCTAACAAGAAAGAGCCAGAGCTTAGCAAAAGCGTTAACAAACAACAATGTCAGCCGCCGATGTTGAAACACAGTCGCAGCAGGAGTCGTCGAACGGTACCAGCAAATTTGATGTGCCCGAGATCGAATTGATCATTAAGGTGAGTTATTTAGACAAACACATGCATATGCATGCAAGCACACACACATGCATATGTACATATGTACATGCTTAGATAGTGTTAGATTTCTACATGCGCGCTTTGCAAATTTTCAGTGCATTATTAAAGTGAAAATGCTGTTGTGTCGCAAATAAATGCACAAACACAGACAACTTCTTTTTTGTGCACCTTTTGCTTATCCAATTCAGTGTCACATGAAATATGTATATAGAAATGTATTCATTATGCTCAGTTTTGGTCTTTTATTTATTCATCATCTTTGTACGCCCCCTTTTGTATTGGCTTTGCGTATGTCTGTCTGATTGTTCTTCTTATAGCTGTTGTTGTTGTTATTAAGCTAAGCATCGCAAAAACTGGTTTTCTCGCTCTCGCTCTTTCGCTCCTTAAGTTCTCGGCCAACTAAGCAGCACACACACACACACATGGAGTGCTTCTCTACGTGTGCGTGTTTCAATTTGCATTTGTAGTGGCAACCCTGCTAAATATTCTTGCATTTAACTTACAGTTAATTAATAAGTTCTTATCTGACATAAACTTTAATCGCATTTCATTGTGCCAATTGCCTGGCAACGCACACGTTTCCATTTCTGTTTGTTGTGTGTGGTTGCGCGTGTGTGTGTGTGTGTGTGCGTGCGTATGATTTCGAAATTTCTTGGCGCCTACGTCATGCAAACCAAGACGAAATCAACACTTCAACTCGAACATTTTGTTTGCCCAAGTAATTGTCTTTGTACACAGTCATTGTTGATTCTATTAGTTAAGCAACCATTATTAGGGCTTTATGCGCCGTAGCACTCCTTAGACGCCCACGCCGTGGCATGCGGCATGCCGCACCCTACATAAGAAAAAAAAACGAAGAAGTATGACTAATGCAATTCCGGCTGCATGGAGTTGCCAGTTTCACCCTCCGCCGTAGCCATTCCCTGCCCTCCCTTGCTGTTAGATGAAGCTTTGGCTGAGAGAGAAAGTGAAAGATGGCTGCCGGAGCGCACCTGTTGAACTCAATGCACTCTCTCAATGAAGCAGAAGCATCTTTGACATAATGCACACGAATACACACGCACACACACACACACATACACATAAACATGTACGTGCCATTTGCAATCAAAGGTAAAACAACAAAAAACGTAAATGTACAAATAAAGCATTTAAGCAAAAAGTGAAAGTTCAATTTGGTTTGCGCCCAAAATACATTGCGCTCGCTTGTTGTTGTTATGTTGCATAGACGAAGAAAGCAGCAACAACAACAAAAGCAGCAGCATTCACTCTTCCCAACTGGCTCTGCGCGCTGCTTGTCGTGTCTGTGGCACGGCGCGTGCAACAAACACAACAAATGTGTGTTCATTTGCTGTTCCGAGGTCCAACAAACCAACAAAACACAATCATTGAACGCTAAACAGGTTTTTCTCGTGTGCAGTTTTCCGCCTCCTTGGCCAAAGCCAAAGGCCCAGGCACAGTCATCGCCCACAAACACACACACACACACATACAACATCTGTAATAGCAACGGCAACAATTGCGCTTATTGTTGTACAATTTGATGCAGACGATTTACCCAAAACTCGATGCCTTTGTTTGGCATCGAAAATGTATCGATAGCGATGCTAGCAGATTTAAGGTGCGAGCTTTGTGCTTTACATCTAAATGTGGCGACCCAGCCATCGGCAAGTTATGCGGGTCACATATCTGACCACATGTGCCTGCATATGTGTAATCGATTGGACAAGTGAAACAGGCACGTCACATCAAGTATGTGCCCTTAAAAATGCATGCATTGCATTCATATGTGCATCCTGCACGCTCACGATCCACTCACGCGTTCATCTCTAAAGCGCTGCAGCATGACATTTAGCCAAGCACGCAAGAGAGGCTTGTCATGCCATTGTTGTTGTGACTACTGATGATGATGTTGTTGTTGTTGTGGGTGGCGTGTGTGCAAATGCATTTCATTGACAAATAAAAAAAACCGCGCAATGTTTACATTTATTTTTGTCTTGTCTTTGTCTTGTTCCTTTTTACATACATTTCGCAATGAAAAAAATAATAATTTATTTTAGAAATTACTTAACTCCATGCTATACCTGTGGTAACTAAAATAACAATTAAGTCACAAAGTTAGCAAAATGAAATTGACAAGCGTTTCAGCACGCCATAAATAATAATAATAAGACATGAACATGAAGACGCGACTCGAAGAACACAAAAAAAAAGTAATAAAAACCCATTAGCCATTTACCAATTTAGGCCAAGATACGAGCGAGCATTCTCATTCTTCAAGCTCACATTCCTTCCCCCCACACAGCACTCGACCACACTGTTGATTATATTTATTGTTTATTGTTTTTTTTTCTGGCTATTACTTCATCAGAGTGAGCCGTTGCGGTTTCTATTGGGGCGAATGCTTCCGCTGTTTCCTGATAAGATATGTAATTTGAAATGTGCGGCATTTGGTCGGGGAAACAACAAGAAAGCTCCCAAGGTTGACATCTCTCTGTCCGCCCTCAACCGTAGCCACGATGCCGCCGTCATAAAAAGTATTGCGCGCTGCAGCTGTCAGCGCTAACCGGTTCCAAAAATAACGCACTCCCAAATACAGCACGCACACAGATTGCACAAATACAAGCATACGTAAGTGTGTGTGTGTGTGTGTGTGTGTACATACATATACCTAAGTATGGGAGCTTACACATTTCATATTTATTTCTGATTGTTGTTGCTGCTGATCGCACTAGCGCTAACCATTTGTATTTAATTTTTTTTATCTTATCTCACTATTATTTCTACTGAAATCGGTTGCCCTTTTACAAAAACAAAGTCAACAAATCAAGAATCGAAGACTTGCAACTATAGTAGTAGTAGTGAGGAGGATGTAGAGTAAAAGAGAGAAGAAAATCACACAATAGATTTGTCTCGCTTCTGTGAATGATGCCATTTAATTTTTGCTGCTCTGCTCCTGCTTCTTCTTCTCTCCAAACCGTACACAGTTATTTATTTGCCAGCACAATATGAAATGTATTTAAAAATTAACGTTTTTATTGCTCGTCGGCGATTGTTGTTTTTGGCAAGGCATTTTTTTTTTCATTTTTTTTTTTTCAAATATGAAAGATTGCTATGCGCTGCTTGTTGTATGCCACTTGACATTTGCCAACGGCCGCTTTTGGTTTGTTTTACGTTCGTCATTTCTATTTTCGATCGGCAATTGCAGTTTTTACAATCTTTCAGCTGCTGCATACGGCGGCAGGCACCTCAACTTGACCTTTGATGTTCCCCATATGCGCGTGCTGTACAATTTATTTAGCAATTCATATTGCAAAATAATTACATTTTTTAACCGCACTCACACGAGGCGTACATATATACTTATGTATGTATGCATGTTTATATGTATGTATGCGAGGTGTGCAGGTGAGAAAGTAATCAGGTCATTTGGGAATTTTGTGTGTGACAAATGTGTACACACACTTTCATACACATGGTCGTATAAGTACATATATCAGCAAACAGTTAATAACATTGCTGGGCATTCACCGGCTGCTAATGCGACAGGGCACATGTACGATATTTCTGCCGCAATATAAAATAAACCGTTAAAGCGCCAAGCGTTAAATGCTTTGAGTGACGACGCACCCGTGACGATGCTCCACTCCCCTCCACTCCATATCCACAGCACACGCATGAGTGCTTAATGAGGGGGCGGCGTGGGTGCGGTTTCTTTTATACATACGCATTCTATGAACATTGATACAACATGTGTGTTTGTGTGCGTGTGTGTGTGTGTGTGTGTGTGTGTATGAGGCTATTAAGCTATTCACATTTTAACACACAATCGCATGCAAACGCATGTTAATTAGTTCGTATTAGAAAATTAAACACAATTGCCTGTATAATTGATGCGTAAATGTTAAAACAGCTGATTGCAAGCATTTGAATAGTTGTTGACAGGTAGTCATTGCTGCTAGTGCGATTACTCATTTACGATTGGCCGGCGATTATTACAAGACTTCTATTTTAGGCAGCAGCTGGCAACCTTGCAAGCAATGTACGTTGTAGATGGAGTTGTGTTGCAGCGTGTAAACACAAACACAATTACATGAGTTTATCTAACACACACACACACACACACACACACACATAGAGATATACATACTTATATGTACTTATGAATTACCGGCTGTCGATAAATCAACAAGTCAAGCAAAACAAAAAAGAGCAAAGATGATGACATCATTCCACATTTTCTGGTCAAACGCCACGCAGGCGTGGCTCTGGCAGGTTAAGTGATGGCAGGAACTGTGTGCACTTCCTGACGCCCGCGCAAGTGTCGATCAATTTTTCGATACCTATTCGATACCATGCGTGGACAATTCATCACGCAATGTACGTTCGCTACTTACCTATTGTGAATGATGA